TGGACCGGTGCTGCTACTTTTCCCAGAGGATGCCTAACAGAGGTGGTATTATCTAATGGAGAAAAGTAAGAGCAAGAGCAAAGTTCATGGACCTGGAGTGTTCTTCCTAACCAGTGTCTTGGAAAGTTCCTGCACCTATCTCAGTTTCCCTGCTGTTAAATCATGAGAAGGATTTTAAAACTATTTTTTTGGATGAGCATACTGATAAAGAGCACTCTACAATACAAGTGGTAACCTGTGTATTCTGATTCTAGGCTGAAATTCTTGAACATAACCTAGAAAGAGACAAGCACACTAACCCCAGAAGAGGAGCAGGGCTGGTGAGTGGGGCACTCTCTGGGGACTACGGGAGACATAAACTCTTTTTCAGAGAAGGGTTCTTCTACCATGGAAGTGTCCTAACCACTAAGCAACAGTGATATTTCTAGTAGTAGACCTGTCTTGCCTATTCTGCTTCCCCTTTTCTCTATGAAAATACCCAGTAGTGGAAGAGTTCCTGCAATCTCAAAAAGTTTCAGAAGCCCAGAGAAGTATTTATCACCCCGTAAATGTAGGATCTGATTAACGATCAGCGTTCTGCTTTGGAAGAGCCAGCCCGGGGCTGTTCCCCTGCCCTGCCGGGCGGTGCGGTGCGGTGCGGTGCGGTGCGCAGGGATGTCTGTGCCGCGGTGGGCTCCCGCACTAGGTGGCAACAGAGAGTCACCACCGTCCCCACCAGCACCTGGGGAAGCCACGGGCGAGCAAACTGCACCCAGGGATTACAAACCTCAGGCCTTTTTACTTCGCTTTTAATCGCACAGCGCTTTTGCAGCCGTAGTCTGTTGGCAAACTCAAGGCAGCGAACTCGCAGCAAGGACTAGTGTTCCCGTGTTTAACCAGAGGGAGAACAGTGAGCATGCAGAAGAAGCGGAGATTTGGGTTTGGGTTACATTCATGCCTAGTTGCCAAGCATGCAAAATCATGATCTCAAAAACAACAGTGCAAGTTAGATACCTCCTTTCAGTAAATCCGTGTCTGTGTTGACAAATGAGAGATCTGCCTAATAAGCCTAAAATTTACTCCTGCAAATGTAGCTCCCAGCACTAACTCATAGCTGCAGATGCAGGGCGAAGAACACAGTTCTGGTCCAGTCCAGGAGTCTGCAAGTCACTTAGCCACAATCTCAAAGTCCTTTTTACATGCTAAGCTTTTGTTCTTGTGAGTTCAGCATTCTTCCTCAGGCCAGTCCTGTTTAATATCTTTATCAGTGATCTGGACAAGAGGATGGAGTGCTCCTTCAGTCTGTTTGCAGACAACAAACACCAAATTGTATGGGAGTGTTGATATGCTGGAGGGCAGGAAGGCTCTAAAACAGATTGTTCTAGTGGAAATCTATTGCCTGTCCCTTTCCCTTGTATCAAAGTCTGCAGTATACCTCACTAATATCTGAAATAATGAAACATAACTACAAAAGAGCATATCACTGCCTTTAAACTGTCACATTCAAAGAAAACAAACACCCATCTGGCATGTGTTTGGAGCATTATGTTACACCTTCTGTTAGCAACACACTGTTGAACATTATACCAAATTAACATGTCTCAGTAAATCAAAGCTTTCCCTAGGTCTTGGCTTGTACTGTCACAGGGAATTCAAATGTCAGTGTGTGAAAGACTTAATTCTCTGCTCCACCTGCTGCCGATGCCATAGATCAAAGAGGGGGATGTCTGTATGCAACATATAAAAACTTGTTAAACAAACGTGTAACAATCAAAACACTACCTAAAAAAAAAAAAAACCCAAACAACACCATGATATATAATTAAGCATTTTCACCATTTTAAAACCAAAGAGAGAAGAAAAACTTTAAAAAAAATAGGTGCTCTTTGCAATTGCTTCTGGTTTTAGTAGAGAAATTAAAAGTCAATTGTCTTCTCAGAAGGCAGATGCTTAGCCCTTAAAAGTTTTGGCCTTACCAAGAAGTTTGTTCTGTAAGTAAATTCCTACAATATCAAGATTACAAGATGGTGTGACTGTTCTCTTTCTCCTGTTAGTTGTAGTAAGTAAATCAATATGTAGGAATGCTTCATGAAATACCTATCTAGTTCTGTTGCACCCAAAGTCAATATCAGAACTTATTTTCGTTTTTATGCATGGAACTATCAGTGTTTAAAACAGCACAGATGTGCATATTTTTGAATACCTGGCAAGACATTTGGCTTTCAGTAGCTACTACTGGTAATTAAGTGGCATTTCCACTCCAGTGAAAAAATGAATACACCTCTCTTATGAAACTGAAATCTACAAACAAAGTTTATCAAGGAAATTCCAGAAGCAATGATATTAATTCCAGCTAGATGAAAATTCTGTGCTTTCTATTTTGGTAGAAGCAGCAAAAAGTTGTCTCTTTAGTTATATTATGAATGTTATTTAAGCTACTTTAAAAGCCCTGGGTCAGGTGTGTCAAGGAACATTTACTTTCTCCAAGCACATAGAAAATGTCTGTGACCTTTGATTTCTCAAAATGTCAATTATTTATGTTTTTTGAATTAGAAAAGTTTCTCTCTACTCCTGTAGATTATTCATTGCAGTAATAAACATTAAACTTAATTCTGTAGTCATCCACAAAGACAGAAAAATACCATTGGACCTTACTTTGCAGTGCACAGTGGGAACATTCAACCCTGTAAAAAGCCATAGAAGTGACAAATCACCTGAGGCCTTTATAGATATTGGACCATTTTTCTTCTGAGTTGTAAACTAGTAAATTAAGTTTTTGACAAGTTCCTTGCTCACTCTATTTATTCATTGCACCTGGAATTTTCAAGAAGTCCTAAACTGCGCTCAAAACTTTGAAAATATCTTGCTAAATGTACTTTACAGTTTATTTCCAAATGTGATTGAAAGAGCTCAATGCCCACTCTATTTCAACTGAACAATTACATTTTGGGTAGAAGGTGATGCTGGAAGGCCTTAGAGTTTAGATTAATCTTAGTGAACACACTAGACTAAATTCTTTCTTTCTCCAAAAGGCACTCTAAAACAGAAAAAAGAGTCTCTGCTCCTTCCCTTTTTCTGTCCTTTTTTTATTCCTTCCTTTCTTCTGACTTCCATTTCTGATTTCTCTGTCTTCTAATGTCAGATACAGTGATGAAAAAACACAAAAGAAATCTTTGTTGCCGTGATGAAAATACATTCTGATAAAGATGCCCCTGTTCTTTTGTTAGTTTTTGGTTTTGTTCTGTTTACCACATGGCTACAAGAGGCCTTCACAGTCATCTCATCCTTCCTGCACAAAGGGATCAGCTTTATCTAGGCCAGTACTGACAAATACTTGTTTTCTATTTTCTTGCAATCTTCAGCGGCAGACTCAAAGCAAGGTGTTCCCACACTTCCTTCTTCTTGCCATTAATTTTTTTTCTCTGTGTCTGCTTTGAAACTACCTTGTTGTGACTGAAGCTTGCTTGGATTCATGACAATCACAGGAAAGAGTTATATCCTTCCTGCTTTGCTTATTTGAAGTTATCACAGCCCACTCAATTGTCTCCCTAAATTGTTCAATCTTTCCTCACAAATCATCCAGCTGTAAAGATATAGCTGAAGCTATAGCTTTTAAAAAAATATAAAACAGGCTACTAAATATATAACAAGGAGCTATCTCAAATAAGTTGTGCACCACTCTTGAGATGGGCTATGTTTCTGAGGGCACAGATGGATAATCCTGCTTTCCATTAAGTTTACTTGCTGTTGTGCAAATTCTGATGAGCATGGTGGTCCCCTAAAGTGTATGGGAGAATGACAGCTTCCTTTTCTTTAATTCAGGAAGCTACACATGTAAAGCAGGTGGAGAAAACAGAGTAGATGTGAAATTCAGTTGTTTTTGAGGAGCATATTTATACATGGTTGTTGCTTTTACGACTTCCAGTTAATGCCATTCTTAATATGACATGGAGAACTTGTTAGTGAGGACTAGTAAGCTCAGAATTTGTAGAATGGAGCACCTAACTGCTCTTTTCAAAAAATGATTATGTTCCATGCACAATTTTTAAAATTGTTTGGATTTTTCCATATCAGTTCATCCTGTCAAGGACTTCCAGGAAAGAACAAAGAGTAGGCAAGCTATATACAAAACCATACAAACCATATACATTTTAAATGCCAAGAATTCAAAGTTGGTACCTCTGTCTTCTAGAGTGAAGTTCCTAAAGAACATTTTTCAGGAATATAGTTTACTATCTCTATTTTATAAAAATACCCTTAGATAAAATGTCAGAAATTTCAAACTGATGCAAAGGGCACTGGTTAAAGAGAAATTGTAGGGCTCAACCATATCACCTGTATTTCCTGAATATCATCAGCATAACATATGAATACTTCCTCTTGCATGCATGGAACTTTTCTTTGTATAATTAAATATGTCTTTCTGCAGAGGGTGGTGAAGACAATTCACTCTTCCTTAGACAATCCAGTGAGAAAATAACTGCAGTATGGGTAGGCCATTCATGCAGAAATTCTACAAATATTGTGCAGCAATTTAGAGTACACATAAAACAACATATCCTTCCAATACCTACAGACCTAGTCTTTGTATATCCTTCTCCTCTGTGCTTGTGAAGCCCGTCAGCGTTCCAGCGATAAGTTAGAATGACATAATATCTTACTTACCTGGCACAATTTAGACTTTTTTTCTTTTTCATTTTATCAATCCAGCTGTGGAGTTAGCTACACACAACATGTGCTTATGCTGCTCACTGTTGGCTATGTTTATTAGAGATAAAAAGAACAAGGAGGATATAATCCAGTCACCAACAGATTTGAAACATCCTATTGCTAAAGATATTTCTGTGGTGTTCCAAGTTACATTGTAAAATCCTTTTCCTTTTGGTCCCACATACCAGCTGCTTGCTGACATCACCAATAATTTAACATTGCAGACATCCAAAATAGTCTAGCACTTTTCTTCTTCTTCACAGCTGTGCTTGCTTTCAGACTTATGCTTCTGTATTTTTCTTTCCTTCCAGGTAACGCATTTGTGGTGAGCCTAGCTTTGGCTGATCTGGTGGTGGCCTTGTATCCATACCCACTGGTGCTCTTAGCTATTTTCCGCAATGGATGGACACTGGGTGAAACACACTGTAAAGCGAGTGGCTTTGTGATGGGACTAAGTGTTATAGGCTCTATTTTCAACATCACTGCAATTGCAATAAACAGATATTGCTACATATGTCATAGTTTTGCCTATGACAAAGTGTACAGCTGTTGGAATACAATGTTGTACGTCTCCTTAGTATGGATATTAACAGTAATTGCAACTGTGCCAAATTTTTTTGTTGGCTCTTTGAAGTATGATCCACGCATCTATTCCTGCACGTTTGTCCAAACTGCAAGCTCCTACTATACAATAGCTGTTGTGGTCATTCACTTCATCGTCCCTATCACCATTGTCAGCTTCTGCTACCTTCGTATTTGGGTTTTAGTGCTTCAAGTTCGAAGACGAGTCAAGTCAGAAACAAAGCCAAGATTGAAGCCAAGTGACTTCAGAAACTTTCTTACCATGTTTGTTGTTTTTGTGATTTTTGCCTTTTGCTGGGCACCTCTAAACTTCATTGGACTGGCTGTAGCCATTGATCCTACAGAAATGGCACCAAAAGTTCCTGAATGGCTATTCATTATAAGTTATTTAATGGCCTATTTCAACAGCTGCCTTAATGCAATAATATATGGTCTTCTTAATCAGAATTTTCGGAATGAATATAAACGAATTTTAATGTCACTGTGGATGCCAAGGCTTTTCTTCCAGGACACATCCAAAGGAGGAACTGATGGCCAGAAGAGCAAGCCTTCTCCTGCTTTAAACAACAATAACCAAATGAAAACTGAAACCTTGTAAATGTGTAATAGTCAATGCAAGAGTTTGTCATGGAGAACACCAAGATCATAGTTGTAATGTTCTGGTCATTCCTGCTTAATTCTGGGGAGTTTCCAAGTGGATCACGCTTTATGACTGGAATACTGTTTTCATAGTAAAGCACATTGCTCTGGATTAGTGATTTATACAAGATATTAATTGAAAACGTGTTTCAGAATTAAAGCAGCAGGTGGGTGCAAGCTGTTTTAGTTCTGAGACCTGAATCCTGCTTCCAGACATAAGAATGAGGTATTTTTTTTTACTTCAGCGGGAGTTTTGCATTCTTTATACAAGATCAGGATTCAATTCTTTGAAGTTGTAGTGAGTCTATGTGTTCAGCAGCTCATCAAAGCTCTGGAGTGGTATTTTCCTCCCTTCTGTGTCTGAACAGAGGGTGAGACAGACACTCTATTTTTCACACATAAGCCAAACATTGCATTTCTGTGACAGTAATGGTGTCTTTGAATCCAATTTGTAAACTGGAGAGAAGAATATTTGTGTAAAAGCAAATATTAACATTAGAGACTTTCCTCACAGGTTCTTCATACTTACATATATTGAGAATGGGAATACGCTGTGTCTACTCGCTTCATCTTTTGTGGTTAATTTTATGGTAGATAATGTAATTGGTTTATTTATCACAGATTTACCTTACACAATATTCTTCCTTTAGAAAAGATTGAATTTTCATTGAACTTCATTTATTTACCAAAATATCTATATAAAATGTCATTTGATGCACTTTAGCACACCTTACACATCTGCGACAGACTGGAAATTATAGCGTATGACGTGATCATCTGGAGTGGCAACTGGACACTAGACAGGATATCCTAGATCATCTCAAATGATGCTAGACTAAAAGAAGAAGCCCTTTTGACTATAATGGTAGCTGATATACTTGACTCACATGTCTACATCTAATCTCGAACAAAACCCACTGCTGGTGTCTAACCTACGACAACCTTCAAGGTTCCCTGCAGTGGAGATATGTTTCCTTCCATCTGTGAGGATAAACACACATCCAAGGATAAGATTAATTGCTTTTTGGAGGTGCTGGTCTCCTTTCACTGGCTTTAAAAGCAGCTTTGATTAATAGTTCAAACACCTAATTTTGGATAGCTAGAGAGGGCTTTATCTTGCTTAATTTGGGATTAACCCAGTGTAGATATTTGCACACAATCCCTTTTCTAAATACTTACAGTAGTTCTTAGTGTCCTAGGAAATTATTCCTTTTCTTTTGAAACAGATGTCTTTACTGATCAGGGGAGCTGACCAGCAGAACTCAGTAACTGTACTTTCACTGACTCTAAAAAGGATCAGGTAGATCACAAACACACATTTCAGGCAAGGACAGATCATCTTAATTCCATAAATAGTTTACCTGCACTTCATATTTACAGTTCATAAAAATAAAATATTATTTTCCACTTTATTTTTAAACTCAGCTCAAATTCCAACTGGATTTCTGCTTTTCCAGGTAACAAATTTTAACAGTAACTGTGCAGATCAGATTACGATTTGGGTTATATACTCCAGAGCATCACAGTAATTTACACAATGTGGCTATACTATCTCTAAACCAGACTAGGGATCTGTGCACAAGCACACAGTCAATGAGCTTATTTTATCATTAGGCTTGAAATGCACATTGCTGTTAGCATTTCTTAGCAGTGCTGTTCAGAGTAGAGGAGCTAGGTTTCTGGTAAATCCATGTCAGGTATTGAAATGGGACAATGAGGAATTGAGGTAGCTACTACATTCCAGTTTGGGTTTCCTGACCTGACTATTATGAAAAATATTTCTGCAGTAGTATTAATTTGTACAGCAAACATATTCCTTCTGAAGCCATAAAGATGTATTAAACATCACCCTTATATTGCTAGAGTAATAGAAAAATATCAAAGAATCACAGTATTTTAAATGTTCTATTAGCTTGCCAGAAGCCTATGTAAAGTACGGCAAAGTAACAAATGTGATTATTATTTTAGCTGCTTTCACGTTCTTCACATGATTTCTGATAATCTCAGAAATCCAGCACCCTCAGACTCATACAGTGGTGGGCTGACAAGAAGCTGAAAACATTGTGCATAGGGGTAATGAAGAGATGGGACAAATATAACCTCATGGCAGAAAATAAAAATATTGTGGCTAAAAGTAGCAATCATTAATAAGTAGGTTTTACCTGAAACATAATTTTGTAAGTCTGAAACCATTTTGATACGTATTGTCTTTTTCCATGACGTCCACAAGAAGATATGGAACACAAAATCAATATACATGTATATCTACATGTTAAATTTACCTCAGAGTAAATAAGCAGTTTCAAAGGTCTCTGAAACTTATAGCAAAGGATATAAAATTTGATTCCTAACAGTCCTGGTTTTTCTGACTTTTCTGAGTAGTCAAAATTGTGACTTCAAAGTCAGAATTGGTTGTCTGGCTTATCGGTGAACTATTATTAGAAATAAGTTGGTAGACCTTGGTTTATCTCTCACTGGAATGAGTCAGAATAGAGTGCAAAAAGAATTGGTTTAGCTCCATAAAATAAATTTAAATGTTGGAACCATTTCTTTGGCCACAAAAATGAGCTGCTATCACTCTCAATACTTATGAGGAGCAGACTTGAAATTTGTATAAGGTCATTTTACAAATTTTATCTGCTCTTTAAAAATTAAATATCACTTTCAGAATCCGTGTTCTGATATGTTCCCAACTACCCTAAATGAAGCTCACACAAGTAATTGAATAGACTCACTGAGTCATGGAATGGCCTGGGTTGGAAGAGACTAGAAAGATCATTTTGTTTCAGCCACTCTGACCTGGTCAGGGACACCTTCCACTAGACCAGGGTGCTCAAGGCCCCATCCAGCCTGGCCTTGAACACTTCCAGGGATGGAACATCCACAACTTCTCCAGGCAGCTCATGCCAGTGTTTCACCACTGTCACAGAGAGAAGCATTCCAAAATTGGATCTTTCGTCGCAAGTGATGGAAAATTTTTGGAACAGTGTTAAATTATTAGGTGTGGATTTTATCACCTTTTACCTGAAAGGGGCCCTGCTCTGCATGGTAGCTGCAAAGCTAACTTTGCTATTATTGTGCCAGGTACCGCTACTTGTTGAGCCCTGATGTGTGGAAAATAACTCATGCCTGTTAAAATAAGTTTTATACCACGTATTACTACAAAGCATTGCATTTGAGTTGACCTGGAAAGCAATCAAATCCATAAAATTTAAATTTTCATGTAAGTCAATCAAATGCATAAAAAATCTTTAGTTTAGATGACTAAATGTGGCTCTCAATGCTGAAAAGTCTTTGTGTAGAAATGTATATTTCTACCTACATCAGAAGCCTTAAATTAGTTTTCTCCCTTTCCTTATTTTAATTCAAAATCCATTTCCCTAAAGTTAAGTTTGAAGGAAAACTCTATAAATGCACTATCAAGAGAGTTGATATGGTTATAGCATGATTTGAAAGTATAGTCAGGAAGAACATATCAGCTCTGAAGAGATTTATGCATCTTGGAGGAAATTATTACTTTTGTTATATAAAAGTATTTACACCAGCATATCTGATATAGGCACTTTAAGAAAAAAGAGGAAAAAAGTCAGGTAGACCCTGTGTCCTGCACAAGGTAACTAGTGAAGGAAAAACTAGGGCCTCAGGGAAAAAGTCTGTTTCCAGAAAATGTGGAATGTTTTCAAACTTTTAGTGTTACCTTGGTTAAAAAGTGTTGTATTTTCTGTTAATTAAAAGAAGTAAATGTATTCTAGAATTGTTCTTACAGTAGATTTCAGATTAGAAAAAAGCTTACTCCCATGTAGATGGGTGAAAACCAGTTGTAAATTTTGTCTCAGTAAAGAGAGAAGTGGAGGTTTGGTAAAGCCTAAATGAGACGGAAACAGTGCATTAGTCTTATCCTGCCTCTCTGTGCTAGTGAAAATATCACTCTCAAGGAAGAATTAAAACTAAAGTCTTAGTCCTATTAATGTTGACTTTGATGAGATTTCTCACTAAATTATTGACTGAATGGAATAATTATGCCTGGCTCATTCTCAGGAGCAGATACACATTTCTGTCTCTCCACTTCTTCCTTTAAGAACATACTTGGATAAAAATTATAGCTTTCATTTCCCAATTGTATTTTAATGAATTGAACCAGTCTGGGAATTTGCCAATGAATAAATATATATGGAAGATTGTATATATTTCTTAATATGTATATAAAACAATTTTGGTCATCAGAACGACTTGTTGCACTTAAAGGTGTTTACAGATTTAGTGGAAATGAGGAACACAATTTATTTTCAGTCCATCTATTGAAATGTTGCTAGTTTAACTGGATCTTGCACATCATTATTATCTATAATAATAAATCAATATTTTACTTCACATTACAATGAGCATGCAGTGAGACCACTATGAATGTCAGCTGCAGGACACACAGTTGATTCCTGTTTGTTATCTTGTTAGCAACAGTTTCATCTGACTAATGAGATTATTTTCTCAGTCTATATTTTTAAATATTTTTGAGGCATAACATTACTCCAGGTTAAGAACATGAAGGAGCTGTGAAACATTGGGTACTCCTAATTTAACTGGAGTTGGAGGTTGAACCTGGAGGTGACACAGTCTGTGACCCCTTGGACCCAGTCACAGAGATGGAACTGTCCCATTCCGTAACTGTAGAGACTCTTGTGTTCAGCCCTGGGGGTTTTACTCCTTGTGGATAGCTGGGAAGGTCCTATGGAATGTTGCTGTGATTCACCCGCAGAACAAGTTAATCTCATGGCATTGTGCAGGTAAAACTCCAAATAGTTCAGTGGCTGCAGAATGAAGCCTCAAAACTGCTGTATAATGGGAGAATTCCTCTTTGGGAGAACGAAGTAGAACTGGCCACAATAACAGCATTTTTAAAAATAATATTTTATGTCTGAAATACATAGCAACTAATTTTACTCTTCTGTAAACTTATTGAGGTTCCCTTTACCTACAGTTATGTGATAAAATCAACTAAATGCACATGAACTGATAGCGCAGACCTCATAAGTGAGGTCTGTTGATGCCAGATGTGTTTTATTTACAAACTAATGAACAGTGAGGTTTTGTTCAAGGAAGGAG